AAAGAAGCGTTAGTAAATACAAAAGGTATTTGAAAAATAGGTAAAATTTCAAATTGTTCTAAAGGACTAAACATAAAGATTTTTAATTTATTAAATATAAATTAATTACCACCCCACCAGTAAACAGCTACAAATAAAAATAACCAAACAACATCAACAAAATGCCAATACCATGCAGCAGCTTCAAAACCGAAATGGTGTTGTTTTGTAAAATGATGATTAATTAATCTTAAAGTACCTTTTGAAAAGCGGTCTCGTCCATATTAAAAACTCGGGATCAATCGAGTTTTAGCTTAATGCTGAGCTTTGCAAGTGTGTTGAAAAGAATGGTAAGGTCTGCGGGGACGATGCAGTTTCGCTGACGAGAAACTGGCTGAGTAGAGCGGTTAGTAAGCGAGGGATAGCGCTCCTTAACGCGCCGGTACCACCCTTCTCCAATCCACTCACCACAACCCAGAAGGGATAACTCCTGAGCCTTTCGAATGATTACAGAGCGATCGACAGGATGACCTACAAGCTGCCGTCCAACAACCCACTTGTAGAGCTGTTGCTCTGCGGCTTTGGGGAAAAAGCGTTTAGATCCTGGACGCGTAGCTACAAGAGCCTTACCTTCCTTTACTGCTGTCATCCACATACGAATTGATCGTTGGTAAACGCCGGTGGCGGCAGCGACAGCAGTAAATGTGAGCTATAAAACTTACCTGCGTGTCGAGCGCCAGTGCATTGCAGTCTGCCAGTGCCCGGTGCCCCCATCTACGAGCCACCGTCCACTGCCAGTGTCTGCAAAGACACATCCCAAGGACACTCATGCGCCTGGCAGTGCAGCTTGCGGCTGCACTACAACCGGCTACACTGAGTACACATGCGTGCAATGGCGAAGGACTATACCAAGGGACTGTATGCACAAGGACATCGTTTGCTGTGCGCTGCCAAGATGGTGTACTCAAACGAGAGTGCATTTATCTAGAGTTTAGTATTTACTTATTTGCTATTAGTATACTAATCTACTTTTGCGGTACAGCGGTGTTCTGGCGGAGGCTGCTCCACACTTTGCGTTTTGACGCCTGCCGCTCATCAGAGAGCAGCAGAGAAGAGCAGCCTCGCCAGACACCGCAGTCCTGTCGCGGCCTTTTGCCCGGCACTTACGTGCTTACGTTACTTCCTGATTAGTTGCCTAAAGTTGACATTTAAGTGTATTTACATTTAAATGGCTCCTACTCTTAGAAGCGATCGACACATGGAGAACAATCCCCCCGTGACGAACCCTACGTCACCACTCACACGGCTACTTGATATTGTAGTGTACTTCTGGCGGGGAATTGATTAATGACGCAGTCCCAAGAAGGCAGAATTTACTTGGACAACCACAGCACAGATTATCAAAAGTACAAGCATAAAATAAGGCAAGCAGAAGCCCTATTCCATTCTAAAGCACTGAGCACAGATCTCTACCTGAACCAGGGCCTTAGAAACAAAAAGGGTCATTTTGGGACCTTTTGTTTCTGAATGACTGATTATTGTATGGCTTACAAGCTCATGTAGTTCGCGAAAGGCTTAATTAAGACATGAAGGCTGTATCGTAGTAGGGACCATGTACACTCTCAGCTTTACAATGGTGTGAGGTTTAATAGTTAACGATCACCTTGTTTCGAATGGACTCAATTGATCACTTGGTTATTGCTAGTCTCATTCTTTGATGCATGTCTTCCCTGTATAAATCCCTGATTACGCGGTACATTTTGAATAGGTTCGTGTTGCGCGAAAAGGAATCAGATATTAATAGTTGCATGTCCGTGTTCTTGTTAAACCTAACGCAGCCTATTTGATACTTTCATCTCTAACTTACGCCTTGATGGTCTGTTGTCGACGACGACGCATAACGAAGGCACCAGCACCGCCAAGAATTACGCCCGCCACGATACCCGCAATGAGCACTGGCAGCATGGAGTCGAGCAGCGAAACAATCGAATCGTAGTCGTCCACCTTCGAGTCGGTGATGGTGGATCCCTCCTGTCCCCAGTAGATGGGAATCACCACTTCTGTAGGAAGCGTCGGGTACAGAACGTCGCTCATGGCAAACGAGCTGTTGCTAGTGGACGGTGACAGCGCGTACGAAGCCATAAGGCGCTTTAAGGCGCGCATCGTCTTACCCGTACCGGCCTCAATATCGACAAAGGTCTCATACTTGTCCGAGTACTCGGTCGTGAGCGCGCCAGCGCTGTCATACAGAGTGTCCTGACCCACCTGTACGCCGTCGGTCATAGTGATTTGCACGTTTGATGTCAGCGACGAGTTACCGTACAGGAACATAGGGTACGACACGTAAGCCAAGAAACCAGAGGTGAACGCCATGCACTGCACACCGTCCACCGGGACGGCCGTGCCCATGTCAGCGTTCTTCTCAGAAGCTGAAAGTAGGTCCACAGACGGACGGAATCGGTGCAGCGTAATGCCATCGTACTCGACCTCCTGGTGTTGATTAAACAGCGTCAAGTTCTGACGACCTTGACTCAGGTAGATGTTGAAGCCTGCAATTGAGATCTTGTCCTCAAAACCGGATATGCTCACGCCGCCCGGGGCGATACTGGTGGCGTCGTTACCGAACACGGGGCTGCACGTCATGTTAGACGTCGGAGCAGCGCATTTACCATAGGTAGTGAAGGCGTTCACCTCCTTCAAAGTCGGGTTACGGCGCTCGCCCAGGTCCACCCACAGAGCAGTCTTCGTGTACCTCGTCTTACTCTTCGTACTCGTTGATGTAGTCTGCGACGTTCTTATTTCGTCTTTTAATGTATATGTTTCCCATGTATGACTTGTTTGGGGGGCGGGAAAACAGAGTAGTTGCAGCCTCTGGATTCGAACAACCCTCCGGTAAAGAGTGGCTAGCACACAGACTGATAAGACCTGTCACAACTCCGCCAAGTGGTTACCGGGTAAACTGGGCGGGCTTCT